TCATTATATGCAGTGAGCCTTTCTGTCGATTTCTTTTCCTGTTCATACAATCTGTTCTGCTATTTTGAATATTTCCGTATCTATGTTATTGGAGTCTTTGATGTTTCTTGATTCGTAGGCCGATTTTTCTTCCTGTTTCACAGATATACTTCAGCCCACAATTGCTGCATTTGATGCGATAAACTGCCGAGTAATTAAGTTTGTCAATTATCTCGTGTTGTATCTGCAGACTGGTGAAAAGTGTTGCCTTCTGTGTTATCGAAATGATATTAAATTTATTTAGTAACTGTGGCAATTTTTGTTTCAGTTCTGGTCGTCCTACAGATTTTCGATCGGATTTTTATAAAATCCGATTTGAAATCTGACCTTTATAACTTTACGTTTTTTCTATAAATTCTCCGAGGTAACCATTACTAAAGCAGATCGGTGTCAGTTCGTCCAACTGATCGTCCCAGAACTCAGTGTCTGTTAGTAGAAAGCTTTAGATAATTACATTCCTCAGTATTCCTATCTTCAATATGTAGTTATGGTGAGACTGAAAATTTAAGGATTATCTTTCTATAGACTCCTCATAAGTGAGTCGTTCATTTTCCTCCGCCTTCATAGTGAAGTTAATTCTTTCAATAAGTTGGTAAATTAAATTGAGGAATTCATTTAGATTTTCTTTACCATGTGACCAAAGTGCAAAGTATCGCATAAGCACTCCTGGTTGCAGTGATGACTTCTCGAATTCCCTTTCCAACTGTCTATCTACACATTTGTCAAAAGAGATGAGTGGAGATTCCATCGGTAGTCCAATTAAATGTAATATGGATAACCCTTCTTGTCAGGTTGATCAGTCGTGTTAACGATTTCTTCCATATCCGTTCTGTATCCACAATGTCCTCTTCACGCTCCAATATCTCAAGCAAGGCGCTTATCGTTTTCTCACCTGAGATGTTTGTGTACATCAAAACTCACCAACAATTCCGTCCTTTGAGAAAAGTCATGAATTCTTCACAGTACTCGAGTCTGTCATTTACCTTCTTAAGCTTCAAGCAAATGAATTTCGCTAATTTATGTGTTGCTCCATGCTTGTTGTTGACTATTCATCTTAGCGGATTTCCTTCCTTGTGTATCTTCGGTAGTCCGTAGGCTGTCAGTGATCTTGCGTCCTTTTTGATTAAGGATTTCATCATCCATCTATCAATTTCCCCATTATTATGTATTTCCTTTAGCATATCCTTCCGTGCCCCCTTGATCCTTCCTCAGTATTTAATAAGTGTTCCGGTCGCTTAGGCTACTTTCACTTTTCTCCGTGTACTGCTTCCTGACCATTACAACCAACGTCCTCCCTTATACGCCTAAAGAACGGTTTGATCATTCTTTTGTAATTTTTTCCCGTGTACAGGTCAATCTGCTCCTGGTTATCGGTTCTTGATGTGTCAGGATCCGTGGGATTATTTCCAGTTTCATCTCTCGCCTTGTCTCTTCTGGATATTTGTCCGATATGTTGACAACTTCCACCAGAATATCATTAAGAATGTTTCCTTCATTACCTAGTAAAAAATGTAACCTCTTCTTTAAGAGATCCGTAGTTTCAGAATCCAGTGGGATTGAGGATAGACTCACCACCTTAACCCTATCGTTGTTTGTAGCATTTGATACCTTTAATGAAGAACAACTCGCCTCATTAAACTAAATAAGGGAAGAGCAATACTCACAAGCAATTTTGATTCGAACTTCTAAAACGTACCTAGTTCCGTGTCCTTTGCCATAGTATTGGTGATTCCCAGCATTGGACCATTGACTTTGTATATTACCGAACGTTTCGCCGGTATCGTCAGTGAGAGGCGTCACCATAAACGCCGAGTAACAACTTATCAGTGACAAATGGAGGTAATCCTTTTGACATATTTTCTGCTTGACCGTTGTGGCACCACTCCTCGCCTCCATTTTTTGTTCTACTTTCTAATGTCGCATCTCTTTCTCTCGACGATACTTTATATAGCCCATCTACTTATTCACAATTTTGTGTTTTTGGCACTAGAAGACAGAACAAAAAATGGAGGCGAGGAGTGATGCCACAACGATCGAATAGAAAATTGGCCCAAGGAATTACCCTCAAATGTGACTGTGCTCACGATGAAGTCTCTCAATGACGATGCCAGTGAAGCGTTTGGGAATTTGCCAAGTCCAATACAGAAAATCACGAATACGAGAGCAAATGACACAGGACTAGGCACGTTCCATAGGCTCGAGCCAGCACTATGAAGCTAAAGGAGACTGTGACCAGGCAAAATGCCATACCATGCTGGTCTTCATATCTACAATACTTACAAATGCTCGCCTTAGGAGCGAATAAACCTTCTCTATATAATCCATGAGCGGACCGTCACAAAACAATATGCATCAGAGAGAAGGTCCAGCTCATTAGATCTACGCGCCTACTTTTAGGAGGTATAGGCCAATAGGTAACATCAAGCAGTCAAGGCAATAATTACTTGTTGGGCTTACTTCCATTTCGAGTGAAGAGATTCGAAGGTCGGTTTCATCAGAAGACGACGGTGGACTCATCTTGACCAGCTGTCGTTTGCCTTAATGGAAGATTCATGCTGACGCTGTTTCTGAGATAATCTCCTTCGATTACGATAAAAAGTGGCCAAGCTTTTGTCCGTCATATGATGAACATCATTAAAGCAAGATATCATCGTCACAACAAGATTCAAGCTACCGAGTCAAGAAAACTCACCGGCAAATCCCTGAGGTGGTATATATACTCTACATCTGGCCTTTTTGATCAAGTATAAAGTGATGTGGTTAGTTAGGGTCATGTCAACTTCGGTGCCTGTAAGTGTATCTATCTTTGTTTTTGTTCACTTATGCACAAAACCCGCATTGATGACTCAAAGTAATTAGGACAGCAAAAAAGAACGTCTGTTTTTTGGTCATCAAGGTCTGATGACCCCTATCTTCCCCTTAATACATACATTTTATAATCATCACCCAGATTGCGCAAGGTTGGGCAGTCGTCTGATTTTGTTAATGAGCCTTTTTTGTTTTTGGTCTCAATGCGAGAGAGAAAGAGTGAGCTAAAAAGTACAAAGTGACTATCATTAGAATTAAGACACGAAAAGACTAGATACGAAGAGAAACTGGGTTTCGATGAATCTACTTAGATAACTTTGTTAGGGGGACCTTCATTTCGTACGAAAGTGCATGAAGAAGAGATTCGTTGGTCGATCTCACCAGATAAGGACGGATGAAACTCGTTGTACTCCAGACGGTTGGATTTAATACGATATTCATGTTGACGAAGTCCACGGGACTTCCTCTCTCGTTTCAGCAT